ATATATATATATATATATATATATATATATATATGGGGGTGGGGCTGGGGATTTAGCTCAATGGTTAAGCACCCCTGTGTTCAATCCCCAGTACCATATGTATATATTTAGAGAGAGACAGACAGACAGACAGTCAGAACTTGGGATGGTGGTGCCTAGGACACAATAAGCACTATAATATGAAAGTGTTTGCTCTCATCGTCTTCATTATTATTCTTTATCTAGTATCCTGGTATCCCAGCTCTGCCACTACTTGCTCTGTGCTCTTAGGCAGGTTACTTAATTTGTATGCCTCCATATCCTCGTCTATAAAATGAGGGGTAATAATGGTATCTGACTCAAGGGTTCTTATGAAAATTAAACAAGATAAAATGCATAAGGGTTTAGAAGAATGCATGGCATATGGTTAATGTTTGATAATAGTGGCTGTAAAGATAAGCTTGGAGAGCAGATAAGAGGTGGGGTAGCTGCTGAAGTTCCTGGCCACCTTTTGTCCACCCCAGGCTGATGGTGCGCTCTGGGGGCAGTCCCCTATCTCCTGTGATCTATGACTCTGACATGGATGATGTCCCAGAGCGTGGTCTCATCAGTGACGCCCAGTCCCTCTATGTGGAGTTGCTCTCAGAGACGCCTGCTAATCCCCTGCTGCTCAGCCTCCGATTTGAAGGTAATAGTCCCGCTTCCCCACTGGACTCTAACTTCTGCACCTTCTCTTTCTGGCATAAGCACATACTCCCTCCCTGCTCATCTCGGTGGTTAGATCCCTGAAAACTGACTTGTCTTTCCACCCCAAAATGACAAAGATCCCTTCATAAGAATCCCTTCTCACTGGGCACGGTGGCACACACCTGTAATCCCAGCAGCTCGAGAGGCTGAGGTAGGAGGATCATGAGTTCAAAGCCAGCCTCAGTGAGATCCTATCTCTAAATAAAATATAAAACGGAGATGTGGCTCAGTGGTTGAGTGCCCCTGAGTTCAATCCCCAGTACCCCTACCCCCAAAAAAAGGATCCCTTCTCATTCCCCGAGGTAGCCTTTTCTGATTAAGCTTCATGTATGGCTGGATCCAGTTATACAGCCAAGGAACCAGTTATCTCAGTCTCTCAGTTCTTTGCTATTTTGCATTGGCTTCATTCTCAGGTAGGCTTTCCCTGTGATGGACCTAGCTGCAGACTTTCATACTGCCTACCTAGTAACTCCATCAGAGAAAGTGGAAGCTCATATCTTTCCTGAGAGCTTCAGTAACAATGCCAGAAAAGGCTCTCATTGACCTGGTTAAGGTCCTGTGCCTTTGCCTGAGCCAATCACTGTGGCTAAGGGCAGATGGTGTTATGATTGACAGATTAGCCTCATGTGGCCATTTATGGTTGGCTCCAACTGAACTGCTTGGGCTGGAAGGCATGTTTTTCAAAATGAAAATAAAGGTGACTTTAAGAGAAAAGGAGGGACAGGTAGAAACAAGGTCAGTGGCTGGCCATGGGAGAAGAGGTATTTAATCTTGGTCTTAAAGGATGGAAGGTAATTTAGAAGAAGCTGGAGGAAAAAGCAGCTCAGGTGAATGGAATAGTGGGGGCAAAGGGGAGGAGGTAGAGAAGTGCTTGGTATGTTTGGGAAACAGGATTTCGAGGTGGCTGCAGCAGAAGATTTCTCTGAATAGTGTCAGGAGAGAGATAAAGAGAAATGCTCAGAGATGTGGGGGACTAGTTTCTAGTATGAATCATGAGAGAAATGGAATTGGCACTGGCCCTGATGGATCGGTAAGATTTGGACATGATTCCTTATCAGTTCAAGTAACATTGAAATAAAAGAGTGAATCTGCAGGAAAAAAATAAATAAATACAGGATAGATTGTGAAAGTACTGAAGTGCAAAGATCTCTGTCTTTTGGTGACAGTCTCCAGCTGTGAGGCCTGCCTCCACAGATGTGAACCACTGCTGCTCTGTGAGAGTCAGATCCCCCATCTGTATCATAAGGCTCTGACGTCATACCTCACAGGTAGTTTTGCAGCTAAGATGTCAGGTGGACAGAAACAAGAATGTCCTACAAATATTCCTTTTTGCTGACTTAGTCCAAAGTAAAAACTGAGCAGCTTTTGCCTTAGCTGCAATTTTGGATTCTAGCAACAGCATGGATGATCAGAATCCAACTGTTATTTTTGAGAAGAGAACACACCTACGCAGGCCTGTTCCCCACCCCCACCCACTTGCAGTTCCAAGAGCCACGTGTCTGTGGCTGGGAACCAAACCATCTGGGTTGGAGACTTGGTGCTGCCATTACCTGCTGAGTGACCTTGGGCGTGTGGCTGTGTGGCTGTGGACCTCCTCATCTGTAGAACAGTGGCTGGGATTTGACTAGCCTAGGGGTTTCCCTCCAAAGGCCATTGAGGCAATATAAATGTGTGAGTGAAGAATGCTCTGGGTTTTGACATTGGGGACTGAAAGCTAAGCCCAAGAGCAGTTCATTTTTTAAAAAACCCACTGAGTGGCCAAACACCTGAATTCAGTCCCAGTTCCCAGATCGAGGTCTGAGACCTATCCTAATGCTTAAATTTATTTTATTTTCCTTTCCTTTCCTTGTGGTGCTGGGGACAGCACCCAGGTCCTCACACATGCTAGGCAAATGCTCTACCCCTAAGCCACATCTTCAGCCCACTCACTCTTAATGCTTAATTTTTGTGATGGATTCCTCCCTAGCCTTTGAAGAGGATCGCTGCTTCGCCCCTTTCCTGGCACATGGCAACGTTACTACCACAGACCCTGAGTACCGCCCAGGGGCACTGGCCACCTTCTCATGCCTCCCAGGATATGCTCTGGAGCCTCCAGGGCCCCCCAATGCCATTGAATGTGTGGATCCCACAGAACCTCACTGGAATGACACAGAACCAGCCTGCAAGGGTGAGCCCTCCACACCCTACAAGGTCCTTCAGACTACCCGCTGAACCAGGGTCCCCAGGAAGTCCATTTGGGAAGGAGACCTGCATATTCAAACCTAGTAAAGCCAAGCCCTGAGGAAATTCCTGTCCTCTCAGAGGCTGTTTTCTAGGCTGAATAATTGACAGGCTTGTGACCAAATTCAGAGCTCATAAATCCAGATGTCTTCAGCAGCTGGAACCAGAGTTGGACTGAGTTATGGATTGGGTGTGTAAGTTTGTGAGTGTGCAGGGTTAAGAGCAAGGCTGAAGATTGGGTACAAGATCTAGATGTGGCGAGAAACAGGTGGGTCATTGATACTGGGAAACATGAGTGATCCGGTGGTGCACACCCCTGGGAGTGGTGAGGACCTTTGCAAATGGAGACTGTGTGCCCTTGTGGGTCCTAAACCTCACACCTCTTCTTCCCTAAGCCATGTGTGGAGGGGAGCTGTCAGAGCCAGCTGGTGTGGTCCTCTCTCCCGACTGGCCCCAGAGCTACAGCCCCGGCCAGGACTGCGTGTGGGGCATGCACGTCCAGGAAGAGAAGCGCATCTTGCTCCAAGTTGAGATGTATGTTTGGGTCCTGAAGAGGGTATGATGGGGGTGGGTTCCCTAAGCGGGGCACTAGCATCCTGAGCCTGGCTGGCTCTTCTATATCAACATGGATTATGGTCCTGTGAAAGAGACCACTAAGGGTTCAGGATGGGATGGGAAACCTAGGGCCAAATCACTTATTAGCCAGGTGACCTTGGACAACTAGAGGGGTAATGCAGCCCTCCTCAAGGGCTCTGCCTGGTGTCTGTCACTCTGGAGGTGTCTGAGGCTGCCCCTGGAGCTATTTCCAGAGACCCAGGCCCAGACTGTTGGATCATCACCGGCACCCAAGGTGGGTGTGGGTGCGGGGAGAATCCAGTGAGCTGATTTGGTATGAGGTGGTCTTGTGAATGGACAGAACCAGAAGTGGGCGTGGCCCCGAAGCAGGTACTTAAGCCCACCAAGCGGATTGAGGGGTAGCAAAGAGTGTGGTCTATGATTCATCATAGCTGTAGCTGGGCGTCCCAAGGTGATGGAGGAGGGACTGGGGAGTGGGGGAGGGACTGGAGAGTGGGTGGAACTAGTAATGAGCAAGGCTGGGGATTTGGAAGAGGGAAATGGGAGAAGCCATAGAACTGGTGGGACCTAGAGCGACTAGCATAGAAGAAATTCAAGATTGCTCAAAACTAAGTCTGTGCCATACCTGGGAGAGGGGAATATGCAGCAGGGCTGGAAAGTAGGTGGATTACTAATGAACAAAGTTAGGGATTGGGCAGAACCAGATGGGAGGGACCAGTCGTTGCTCGGTCTTATAATCTGATCCCATTCCCTGCAGCTTGAATGTGCGTGAAGGGGACATGTTGACACTTTTCGATGGGGATGGTCCCAGCGCCCGTGTCCTGGCTCAGTTGCGGGGACCTCAACCACGTCGTCGCCTCCTCTCCTCTGGGCCCGACCTCACACTCCAATTCCAGGCACCTCCTGGGCCCCCAAATCCGGGCCTGGGCCAGGGCTTTGTATTACACTTCAAAGGTACACAGGGATAGGGACCCCGAGATGGGTAGAGTTCCGGGAGGTCAGAGGTCCCAAGTGAGGGCACTGGAGTCAAGCCACCCAGGCTGGAAAGGGCACCCTGAATCAAAGGGCAGCCCCCAAACTCAATCTCTCCCCTGCAGAGGTCCCGAGGAACGACACTTGCCCTGAGCTGCCGCCTCCCGAGTGGGGCTGGAGGACAGCATCCCACGGGGACCTGATTCGAGGCACCGTGCTCACTTACCAGTGTGAGCCTGGCTACGAGCTGCTGGGCTCTGACATTCTCACCTGTCAGTGGGACCTGTCCTGGAGCGCTGCTCCACCTGCCTGCCAAAAGAGTGAGCTAGACCCTGCCCTGTCCTCTGTGGGCCCCATCCCAACCTCTGGGTTTCTCCCCTTGGCTTGGACCCTGCTCCCTCCCTTTCCTTTTTGGGGTCCCTGTACTGCCTGGGTTCCACCCTTGGCTCCTGCCTGAATCTTCTTCAGGCCCTGCCCCTGTTCAGGTCCAACGCCTCCATTCAGGACCCCTCTGGTTCCTGCTTTTATTTTCTCTGGGCTGCATCTCTCTGTTTCACAGACCAGGACTCTGCCAGGGTTTCCTGAGTCGACTGTATTGTTTCGCGGCCCCACCCACTTCCTCTCTTGATCCCACCTCTGCCAAGTCTGAGTCCCACCCCCCCCAGGTTCTGCCTGGGCTCCATCCTATCCCCTCTTGGTTCTGTTCTAAGCTGGCCACAGGCTCTCAGTTCCAAACAGATGACATTGTGGGAAGTCCCATTGCTAAGACCAAGGCTTGTCCAAGTACCTGGTTTACTTCAATGCAGTCACTGAGGCCCTCTGCTGGGTCAGGATTATGGGATTCTGGTCCCTCCCTACCCTGGCCATTCTCTCAGCCTGGGAGGGGGACAGATACCTAAACAACTCAGGACATTATAAAGTAGTAGCCATAGGGTGGCTCGGTCAAGGTACTTACCATCTCTGAGCCTTGGCTTCCTCATGGGTGAGGTGGGAGTGGGGTTGGGAAGAGCATGTGGAGGTCAGGTTTTCACACGGGGCTGTGGGGTAAACTGTGAGTGAGTAGTAGTGGCTTTAAGGATAAAGCAGCTTTGTGGGAAGAGTGGTGGGTTAATTCTCCCAGGGATGGTGCCAATTTCAGAGGAGGTGACATTTAAAGAAGCTGGGAGTGTGCATCTTTTAGAAGAGCAGAAAGGGGTGGCTTTTTTTTTTTTTTTTTCCTTTTTTAAAATTTCAGACAGGGCCTTGCTAAGTTGCTGAGGCTTGCTTTGAACTTGCCATCCTCCTGCCTCAGCCTCCCCAGCCACTGAGATTGCAGGTTTGGGCCACAGTGCCCAGTAAGGGGTAGCATCTTCTCACTTTTTCAAAATTTTGGGAAGCCTGCTACAAAGATGTAGGATTGTTGGTCTTCCACATGGCCCCTGGGACGGTGGAGATGGTGAGATCAGTGGACTGGACACAAGGAAAACTGTCTAGTTGATGTGGCACCCCAGATCTGGAATGCTGGGCATACAGGCTGAGGTGGGCTGGCCCAGCTGAGACTCAGGAGAGTCTCAAGCTGAGACCCACATCTCTGTATCTCTGTCCAGTGCTTCATGGCTGTGTCTCTGAGCAGATTCCAGCTCAGATGATTCTGGCTAGAGTGCTAAGTTCTGGGCCCCAAGAGAAAGGACAGTGACATTGACTTGTTTGGATTATCAGGGTTAAATATTATGTTTGTAAAATACTTATCAGGGTGCCTGGCACGCGTTTTTATGTACAATAAATGACTATGATTATGATCTTACACAATAGGGTTGTAAACTCAAATGCAAGCTGTATAAGTGAGCAAAGCCACTGGGCATAATGAGAATGTGGGGAGCCAGGTGTGGTGGTACAAGCCTGTAATCCAAGCAACTCAGGAGGATCACAAGTTCAAGGCCAGCCTTAGCAACTTAGCAAGGCCCTAAGCAATTTAGTGAGATACTGTCTCAGAATTGCAGAGTAAAAAATAAAGAAGTCTTGGGGGTGTAGCTCAGTAGTAGAGCCCCTCAATTTAACCCTCAGTACCATAAAAGAAAAAAAAAAAAAAAACTGAGAGATAGGCTGCTGTCCTGCCTGGTGATCTGCCACGCTGGGTTGACAATGCTGGGATTTAGCTGGCATGTTCTGGTGTTGTGATTAAATATTTTGAATTTTACCCCAGGATTGGGTTGCCCAATCACCCTGTTTTCCAAAAAAACCCAAAACATATGGAATTAAATTTTTCTAATTCACGCCCTCTTCCTTCTGAGGAATTCACAGGAGGTGGGAGGGGGTTGTTTAGCAGAGATGGCCTGACGTGCAGGCCTCTCCCAGCCCTAAGTTCCAGGTAGATCTTTTAAGGCCCTCATTCCCCCTGATCTTGCTCTTCTGCCACCAGTCATGACTTGTGCTGACCCTGGTGAGATCACCAACGGGCACCGGACGGCCTCAGACGCTGGCTTCCCTGTTGGCTCCCATGTCCAGTACCGCTGTCTGCCAGGGTACAGCCTGGAGGGGGCAGCCGTGCTTACCTGCTATAGCCGAGACACAGGCACACCCAAGTGGAGCGACCGGGTCCCCAAGTGTGCCTGTGAGTCTGGGGAACCTCCAGGAAGGGGGCTGGGTAACTTTGGCAACAGTCTGCAGGCCCTTGCTGGGCCTGCGCAGTAACACCACTGGCATGTTGACTGGCCTGCTCCCTGCAGTGAAGTATGAGCCGTGCCTGAACCCCGGCGTTCCAGAGAATGGCTATCAGACCTTGTACAAGCATCACTACCAGGCTGGCGAGTCTCTGCGCTTCTTCTGCTATGAAGGCTTTGAGCTCATCGGCGAGGTCACCATCACCTGTGTGCCGGGCCACCCCTCACAGTGGACCAGCCAGCCCCCGCTCTGCAAAGGTGCCTGGGCAGACAGAGCAGGAGGGGCACGTCAGTGTCCAGGGACTGACAGGGCTGGGAAAGTTGGATAGAAAATTCAAGACCAATGGGTGACCCCACTGAGCTCCCTCTTCTCTTCCTGTGGGCTCATCCTCACAGGCATGTCCAGAAGTGCTGAGGAAATCTGAGGTCACAGAATTATCTCAAGGGATGTAGTAGAGGGGGCCTTGGTTTGGAAGTACTTTGCCCACTCTAGATAGGTCTCAGTGTCCCCATCGCTGACGAATTCTAAAGACCTGGTTGGCTCAGAATGTTCAGGAACCTTGAACCTCAGGGGTCTGGAGAAGGAAGACGGCCCTGCCGGGATCAGTCCTCTCTCCCCCACCAAGGGAGCAAAGGGCAGAGAACCAGGCTGTCCAGCCCAGCCCCACTGGGCTCTGACCCTTTACCCAGCCTCCTTCCCTCCCTGGCTCAGACCCCGTCCCCCTCCCCCTCCTCTCCCTGCAGTGGCCTATGAGGAGCTCCTGGACAACCGAAAACTGGAAGGTCAGTGAGGGCAAGGTGGAGGCCCAGGCCTGGCCAGGTCGGGAGGGCAAGGCAGAGGCCGGGGGTAGAAGGCCAGGCCCCGGAGGGGTGAGGCCCAGGGTTCAGGGCCCAGGGCAGGAGGCTGGGAGAGCCCAGGACTGGGCCCAGCATCTGCTCACTGGCCTCTCCTCCTCCCCCAGTGACCCAGACTACAGACCCATCACGGCAGCTGGAGGGTGGGAACCTCGCCTTGGCCATCCTGCTACCCCTCGGCTTGGTCATTGTCCTTGGCAGTGGCGTTTACATATACTACACCAAGTAAGTACCCTACCCAAGGAACTGCCCTCTGGGGCAAATGTCATGCATGCAAGCCCAGGTGAGAGGAGCTTAAGGTCTCACCTGCTGATAAAACCCTCTCTGTTCCCTCCTTTTCCAGGCTCCAGGGAAAATCCCTGTTTGGTTTCTCAGGCTCCCACTCCTACAGCCCCATCACGGTGGAGTCAGACTTCAGCAACCCGCTGTATGAAGCTGGGGTGAGCCCCTCCCCTTCCCCTGCAGTGCCACATCTCTCAGCTCCCCCCAGGACTCCATAACCTTCTCTAAAATCTCTGTGATCTCTTTTTGGGAACTTTAAACTCAGCTGCCTACAAAAGGCCATGCCAATGAGCAAAGCAAGCTGTGTGTGAACAATAGGGAGTGGTGGGGACTGTGGCCAACTGGAGAAATGGTGCCCATCCAAAGGCTACAGCTATAACCCATAGTGGACACGTAGGCCCAGTTGCCAAATCCTCCAACTATTCAAGACAACTCAGAAATTCAGATTTTTATGTTGTTTTTTTAAGACATGAAAGGATGAACCAAATAAATCCATTGTCCAGATTCAGCCTCATTCTCCCCTTGTGACCCCCCAGCCCCCTATGATCAATGTTACTTTAAAAACCAAGGGTCTTTCCCCCTCCTCGTCCATGCCTCCTCCCATTTTTCCACCCCTTCCACTTCCATCTCGCTTCAACAACTGATCTGATCTCTCTGTCTTCAGGATACACGGGAGTATGAAGTTTCCATCTGAATGCCAAGACTAAGGCTGCAGGACCCAGGACACCCGTTCCCTCCTCATTCAGGGCAGTGGGGAGCACAGGACCTGGTCTCTGGCTCCTGGCTTCCCTCCTCCCTGTTGTGTAAATAATCTCCCTGTCCCACAAGGGGGTTTTGATGGCCCTGGAGACCCTACAGTAAATAAACCAGCATCCTGCCGCCCAAAGGCTCCTTTTCTCAGTTGCCAAACAAGGGGCCTACCCCCTGCCCTACTGGCTTTTGGACCCTGGGAGGGGAACTCAGTGCCCTTGCAACTCTTGGGACCCCCTCCCACCCAGGGCACCCCTGAAGGACTGCCCCAACTGCTCTACTGTTCCCTTGGCCTTGTAGGCTTCTCTCCTCCCAGATGCCTAACTCCTGGGCCTTGGAGGGTGAGAAGAGGAAGGATGAGGGGGACAGCTGGGCCAAAGCCCCTCCCTGTTCCTGCTGTGTCCCGAACCCACAATTTCTCCACCTTTGCTTCTGGATTTTTGTTTTTGAGCAATAAATGGAAAATCATCACTTGTAACTGGGCTGGTCAGGGGTATGGGAAGGTGGGCCACAAAATATTAGAGATGGTGATGGTGATCTTTCTGGAGAGAGGCTTGGGGAAGGGGAAATATTTGGAAAACAGACAGAAATCAAAACTTGGCAGGTCAATGTCACAGGCACTGGCCTGGCCTCAAAAAGTCCTGACTTTTGGCTCAGCCTCTGGAAGACTGGCTGGGACTTCTAGACTCTCCAGCAGGCCTTGAGGTTACTGGACAGGTGACAGTCGCTACCCCTCTCTGCTCACTGTAAGGCAGGAGGCAGACAACTCTGTTTGCTTCATGACCAATTTATCTCAACTTCAGTGCCCTTGAGAGTTCATGTAACCATTACCTCCCCTAGTGTTTTGCATTTGCAGAATTCCTGCTGTGACGTGCCTACTTAGCCTGAGTTTATAGGTATCCTTTTCTTCTATAATATCCAATCTACTTTTGAATATTATAAGCAATTTACAGCATTTTTGTTTCTATGCTGGCAAACAAACTCAAGGGCTCTACTATGCAAAGCATGCGCTCTACCACCCCCAGCCCAATTTTATTTATTGTAGTAAGGGAGGCTGAACCCAGGGGGACTATTCCACTGATATATATCCTAAAGTCTTTTTGTGGAGGATGGCCTCGAACTTGTGATCTTCTTGCCTTGGCCTTCTGAGTGGCTAGGATTTTTTTTTTTGGTACCGGAGATTGAACCCAGGGGTGCTTTACCACTGAGTGACATTCCCAAGCTCTTTTAATTTTTTATTGTAAGACAGGGTTCTCACTAAATTACTCATAGCCTCAGTAAATTCCTGGGGTTGGCCTCAAGCCTGTGATCCTCCTGCCTCAGACTCCTAATTTGCTGGGATTACAGGTATGCATCATCATACCCAGTGGGAGTTGCTAAGATTACAGAGATGTGCCAACATGCCCAGCTCCCCAGCCCAATTTATAGCCTATTTGTCTAAAGGGCCTTTCTCCAAATTAACTTTTACTAATTAAATTTATATATCTCAGTACAACTGAACATTTTCAGGACACTTAAAAGGATGCTAAAATATTCAAAGGGAGGTGAATGAGACAAACTGATCTTGATAATAGCCTGTTAGCTGTTGAGCCAGCTAGGCACTGTGCTAAGCACTTTGCATTCATTATGTTTTTTAACTCTTATGAGATCCTGTGAAAATGGTCAACTTATTCCTATTTTTTAGATAAGGAAACTGAGGTTCAGGATGGTCAATCAACTTCTTCAGGAGGCCCAAATAAGTGGCCAAGTTGTGAGTGAAATGTACAAAGCCGCCTGCAGAGCTTTCTGGCTAGTAATGTGGGTGATATGTTCCTGTAGGTGTGAGGACCTAGGGTCCAAGTGAAAGGTCATGGATCAGGATCCTCAGCACCAAAGGTCGCTGAGGCTGCTCCTTGGAAGCAAGAGGGGACCCTCCCAGATGTCATAGCCCTAGACTAAGATTCTAGCTGTAAGGATGGGTGGGCATCCATGACATCAATTCTGCCAACTGGCTGACAGAGAAGCGTCTAAATGAAAACCATCCCAACTGCATGCTTATATCCAGCAACCATATCTGGACCTCCACCCCAGAGAAGCAACACCAGAGCACTTCCTGAATTGGGGGGAAGGGGAAGAACCCCATGACTTTATTAAAGCCTTTTCTTCCTGGTGGTATCTTTGTTGGCTGAAGATGGAGATCTGTGCGATGCATCCAGAACATTTCCTTGGCTTCCAGGGTGGCACTGCTCATGACCAGGAATCCCCCCACCCAAATGAAGTATTTAACAAGTTTTGAAAGAGGAGTTTTGAGGCATGTTCTAGAGGGAAAAATAGGGGAGGGCATGAGAGACCAAGAACAGCACCAAAAAGGGTTGGGCTAATAGAATGTCAAACTGTGGGAGAGAACTCTCTGGAAGACAGCTTTTGACTCTTTAGACCCAAAGCTTATGTCTTACCATCTTTCCATCCTTTACCCATCCATCAAACCCATTTATTCATCCACCATTTCCTATCCATCTCTCCATCTCCCCACCCACCCACATTCTCCTTCCACCCATCCATCTGCATATCTATCCATCATTCTCCATCTGCCTTTCCACTCACTCATCCATCTACCCCCATCTATCCAGCCACCCACTCACCTCTCTTTCATCTACTCACTCACTCTGCCCCTTTTAAACTCCTTACCAGTAGGGATTCTGTTTTGTTCACTGCTATACTTCACCCTCTAGAGAAGTACTAGAACACAGTAAGTGCTTAATATATGTTCAATGAATATATCCATTTACCCATTCACCATTTACCTACCTCCCCATCTACTCACCCATTCCCTCTCCTAACATTTTTGATTAGCCACAATGCCAACAATTCAAAGGGCAATTCAAAGATGTGTAGGCTTCCAGGTTCTTCTTTGAAGGTAAGCAAGAAAAAGTCTCCTGAAATCATGGGGGGCTGGCAGGTGGATGAGGGAAAGATGTTTGCTCAGGATGAAATCCTTAATCAAATGTCATCTGGGAAGGAGGGGAAACCACTGTACGGACAGGCAGGTCCTCACAGAGCATCTTGGGATGGAGGAAGAAGGAAAGCAACTTACATAAGTTAGCAGATAAATTATTAAGGCAGGGGTTTTTCTGATTATTCAAACTATTTCTAATACCAGCCCCGTTAGGAGAGATCTAATGTCCCAAAGGCACTAAAAAAATCAGCTCCTTGAGGACAAGAGATTTGGCTTATTCTCGGCTGTATTTTGCCTCAAGTTTGGTGATTAATACTTGAAGTAGTGGCCCAAGTCAGAAAAATGACTTGTCCCCATGGCTTGATGAACCTGGCACATCATACACAATGAACATCTGTTGGCTTCAGTTCCTTCTCCCTGAATCCTTCTTTCCTCTTATGCCAACCCATTACAGGGAGTTCTCCAGGGCTCCACCCTCAGCACCTTTTCCTTTCTTACTCTACCCAAAGCCTCACAGGGCCACCACATACTCTCCCTTCAACTGCCAGCTCCCTCCTCATGACCTCAGGGTCAACTCTCAATCACTAACCTAGATCTATCCTTTGAGTGTAGAATCCATATTTCCAACTGTCTGTCTATAGAATATTTCCACCTGGAGTCCCCCATGAGCATGATAAACACACTTAAATAAAGTAATAAAAACATTTCCTGGCTAAAGTCGGAAACATGCTTGCCATGTTCCAGAAAGAATGAGAAGGCCCAGGTGCAGAGACAGGGAAATAAGTGGAGAAGTTACAGACAATGAAATCACAGAGACAATAGATGTGGAGTGCTCATGCTGGGCCATGTGAGCACTGAAGGACACTGGCTTTTTACTTGAAAATTGGAAGCTACCGTAGAGTTCCAAGAGGAAACATGACATGATCTGACTCAGGTTGCCCAAGTCAGAAACTTGGCAGTCGTCTGATTCCCTTTTTCCCTCTACCATTTCTAACCAGGGCTCCTCCTTCCATCTCTACCATTACTGTCCAGGTTAGGACCATCATCTCTAATTTGGTTTCTTTGCAATAATTCCTAACTGGCCTCCCTGCCTTCAGTCTTTCCCCCTCTCCAGTGACTATCAAAGTGACTGATAGAAAATTCCCACCTCTTACTCCAGCTCTTCAATGGTTTCTTACCTATAGAAAAATGTCTATGATCTTAACAAGGCACACATAGGCCTCTTGGTTAGTCCCTGTCTACCTTGCCTGCATATTCCAGGGGTTAAGCTGCTTCAGGCCCTATCCTCCACCCTCAGTGCACATGCATCTGCTTACACTCACCCTTCTAAGACCCTTCATGCCTTTACTCATGGAATCTCTACTACTTGGAGTACTCCTACCAGCCCTTGTTTTCTTGCATTTTTTTTTTTTTTTTTGTACCAGGGATTGAACCCAGGGGGTTCACTGAGCGAGACCCCCAGCCCTTTTTAATTTTTATTTTGAGACAAGGTCTTGCTAATTTGCTTAGGGCCTCACTAAGTTGCTGAAGCTGGCTTTGAACTTGCAATCCTCCTGCCTCAGCCTCCCAAGCCACTAGGATTGCAAGCATTGGGGCTGGGGATGTGGCTCAAGTGGTAGTGTGCTCGCCTGGCATGTGTGCGGCCCGGGTTCGATCCTCAGCACCACATACAAACAAAGATGTTGTGTCCTCGGAAAACTAAAAAATAAATATATATATATTAAAAAAAAAAAAAAGGATTGCAAGCATTGTGCTACCATGCCCAGTGTTCTCCTGGAAAATTCATTAGGTGTCTCCAGGAAGCTCCATGATTCCTTTCCTTCCTGTCCTAATTTAAGTTGGGATAGAAGTATTCTTCTCATTGTTTCCATTTCTCTTACACGTATGTGTCCATACTATATTGTAATTGGCCATTTATTTGTCTGTCCTCACATTAAACTGTAAATAATTCAAAGGCTGAGACTCTATTATTTATTTCTGTGTCCCAAGTTCCTAAAGCAAGTACTGGCACATAGTGCAAACTTTAAATGGTTTGTTAATACTGAACAGCCTCATAGATACCTTATCACGAAGGGATAGCTGGTGTGCCTTGGTGTGGATATGGTCTCTGTCAGAGCTGGAGATGGCAGAAGAGAAAGGAGAAGGTTGAATGAGAACTCTGAATTTGAGGATCAGAGCAGAATAAAATAGAGCTGCATGGTTCAAAAATCCCTCTACCCCGCTGGAATGTTTGCCAAACCCTTGCTCTCTCCCCTATATGTTCCTTATCTTTTTCCCTGAACAAAGTACATCTCCATGAAGCCTCACTCACCAGGTGTCTGTGCCTCCGGTCATGGTGAAGAGCACTGGAAGCAGAGGCCCCAGTTAGAGAAATGACTATGCCCAACCCAAGGGCAGCAAGAGATATGGCTAGGGCAGAAAGGGCCAAGGGAATTTCTGGCCAGCAGTGAGGAGTGGGTACTGGGTTAGGGTTTATGGGGCACTGTGCCTAGAACCAGCTCTGAAACAGGCCACTGAGGCATAGCTTCCTGGAGAGGTCAGCT